CAAGGAAAGTGTTGTGAGGCCTTCATTATCGCCCTACACCGCACCTGTCATTTTAGCAGAAAAGAAAGGTGAAGGACGGACTCGTCTATGTATTGACTACTGGAAACTCAATGCCATAATGGTACCCGACTTTCCACCAATTCCACGTATAGATGATATTCTTGACCACTTGGGAAAGGCTGAGTTTTTAACTATGTTGGAAGTAACGTCGGGATACTGGCGTGTCCAAATGCATCCTGACGATGTTCAGAAAACTGCATTTGTCACGCCTGATGGTTATTTTGAGTGGTTGGTAATGCCGTTTGAGTTAAAGAACGCTCCAGCTACATTTGAAAGAGCCATGAAATCAATAATAATGAAAGAATACCTCACCAATGTTATTAATTACTTTGATGATGCGGTCGTATACTCAGAGACATTCAATGATCATATACGACACCTTGAGGCGCCTATGAAAGCTCTCAAAACCGATTACGTAAACCTCAAACGAAAAAAGTGCCAATTTACACGCTGCAGCATTTAATACCTGGGCGACAAAATTTCACAAGAAACAGAGACACCTAAGCAAAGTAATGTGGCTGCCATACTCAAATTTTCGACACCAAAACGTGAAAAAGATCTCCAGAGTTTTCTGGGCACTCTAAACACCTACCGTCAGTACATCCCCCACTTCAGTGATATCGCTCTTCCACTCACAAAACTACTCTACAAAAGCAGCAAGTGGGTGTGGACAGAAGCATGCGAGCAAGCCTTTCGTGAACTGAAGGAGTGGATAACTGAAGAGCCGGTGCTTTGCATATACGACCCTTCGAGACCATGCACTGAGTACTGTGACGCATCTAGCGAAGGCATCGGTGCAGTGCTGAAACAACCTGATGACAAAGGCAAAGAACATCCTGTTGCTTACTATTTCCGCAAAATACTTAAGCACGAGGTGAACTATGCTATTACAGAAAGAGAATGTCTGGCCATTGTAGATGCCATTGATAAATAGCATTGCTACCTTCATGGAAAGTCATTCACTGTTGTAACAGATCACTCTGCACTCCAGTGGCTGAAGAATGTTAAAAATTCTCAAGGTCGTCTCTTCTGGTTGTCTTTGAAACTGTCAATGTATGTTGTGAACATCAAACAGGGCGCAAGTAATGTCGAAGCAGATGCACTCTCCAGAGCCCCAATAGGTAATCGTCTATCACATGACGACCTTCAGCGATGCAACAATGAGCGTCTAAAAGGAACGCACTCATTGGAAAATAATATCATCATCGTTAATAGAAGGACTACGGAAAATATACGCGCCCCATGAACTACGCCCAAACATTCTGAAGAATGAACATCAACATTTTGGGCATGTCGGAGTGAAGAAGACGCTATCACTCCTGTCTCCGCAATATTATTGGCCGCATATGGTAACCGATGTTTCCACTTACATTCGGCATTGTGATACATGTCAGAGATGCAAGAAGACGAAAAGCAAAAAAGTTTAGGACGCTTCAATCACTGCCTCCAGCTGAAGAGCCCTTCGAACTTTTTGCAATAGACACCATTGGAGGATTTTCTGGATATGGCTCGTGAAAAAGGTTTATACACTTGGTTATTGATCATGCGATTCGCTACGTATGGGCGTTTGCTCATAAAAGTGAGAACAGCAACGCCTACATTTCATGCTGAAAAACAAATTTTCTTCTGGAAAACCACGGAATCTCCTTTCAGATCGTGGAACAAGATTTACTGCAGAAAATTCAAGCAGTTTTTAAAACATAATCGTATACACCAACTACTCACCTCATGTCCTCATCCACAACGAAACGGCATGAACGAGCAGACAAACCAGACTATAGTAACGAGACTTAAGTGTAAGATCAATGACGAACCACAAAAGTCTTGGACTAAGCTGCTTCCGGAGGTAATTGACGAATACAACAGAACACCCCACGAAATGACCGGCTACGCACCTTCTTTCTTGATGTATGGAATTCCATTTTATCCTGCTGTACTGGAACAACAAGAAGAAACTGTCGAAGAAGCGCGAAAGACTGCATTTACCAATTCTATCGCCTACCACAATAAGAACAAAGTCGTTTATGAAAGAAAATTTCTTCCGATTGAGTTCCAAGTCGGTGACTTTGTCCTTTACGAGACACCGTGGCATCCCAACAACGGCAAACTGAGTTCCGTCATGGAAGGACCCTACAAGATTCTACGCAATGTCTCAACAGTGAACTATGAGATAAACCGCTCCGTGCTACCCTTACGTAGAAACTCTGACATTGTGCAAGTTAGCAAACTGCAGCGTTATTTTGAACCTTCTGAATTGAGACTTCCTCGAGGGGAGGGGGAAGTGTGATGCATTAACAAGGTGATTCTTGGAGAAGCCGACGAAGAGGAAGTGCGCGTGCATTAGAATAAACGCAGGGCATCTGTACCACGACGCGTCTCCATTTTGTAGCGTGACACACACACATACATACATACATATATATATATATATATATATATATATATATATATATATATATATATATATATCGTAGGTTCGATTTCTGCTCACAGCTGGTAAATTTTTTATCCACTTTTCTTTCTTCTTTCTGCTTATTTACATTCCATTGGTTCTAATAACTTCCCCTGTACATTCCTTGGCATTACTGTCTGTTATATCTCATTAATATTGTGTTAAAACACGGAAATACGAGCCCTTAGGTATACACTTCTCTCCCTTATTTCATTGAACGAGGGTCTCGTACTGGCAGACTTGGTGTGTTTAGGTTGTATAAGAGGGACAATTAATCAGCTGCCCGCTCATAATAAGTTCACGTGCTACGTGACGCCAAACATGCGAATAAGAGTGTTTTCACACTCGTTGTTTGGCTTATAGATGGCGCTGACTGTCACTCCTACTTCTAAATTCACATAGAAACCCCAAAAAGTGGCTGGAGGGACGGCTGCTGTGATAGCTCAGTGTTTAGAGCATCGAACACGTTATCCGAAGGTCGTAGGTTCGATTCCCGCTCACAGCTGGTAATTTTTTCATCCACTTTTCTTTCTTCTTTCTTCTTATTTACATTCCATTGGTTCTAATAACTTCCCCTGTACATTCCTTGGCATTACTGTCTGTTATATCTCATATATATCTCATATATATATATATATATATATATATATATATATATATATATATATTCGTGCTGAGCGTTCACAGGGGTTTTTCTTTTTCCCTTTTTTCCTTTTCTTTTTTTTACTTCTTTCTCACTCTCGCATACACCTTTCAAGGCGAGAGAACGCGGCAGCAACCATTTGAACGTTCATGTTGGTGTAACTCATCCCCTGGCGAAGGGAGGACCCCTCCCGAAACTGTTGGGAAATAAATATATTTATCCATGTTGACAACGTCCCGTTGTGCCATATCCCTCTGTATATATATATATATATATATATATATATATATATATATATATATATATATATATATATATATATATATATATATATATATATATATATATATATATACGAGTGCCGCTGTAATAGCTCAGTGGTTAGAGCATCGAACGCGTAATTCGAAGGTCGTAGGTTCGATTCCTGCTTACAGTTGGTAATTTTTTCATCCACTTTTCTTTCTTCTTATTTACATTCATTAATGTTAATAACTTCCCCTGTACATTCCTTGGCATTACTGTCTGTTATATCTCATTATTATTGTGTTAAAAACACGGAAAAACGAGCCCTTAGGTATACACTTCTTTCCCTTATTTCATTGAACGAGGGTCTCGCACTGGCAGACTTGGTGTGTTTAGGTTGTATAAGAGGGACAATTAATCAGCTGCCCGCTCATAATAAGTTCACGTGCTACGTGACGCCAAACATGCGCATAAGAGTGTTTTCACACTCGTTGTTTGGCTTATAGATGGCGCTGACTGTCGCTCCTACTTCTAAAAAATTCACAGATAAACCCAAAAAAGTGGATGGAGGGAGTGCCGCTGTAATAGCTCAGTGGTTAGAGCATCGAACGCGTAATTCGAAGGTCGTAGGTTCGATTCCTGCTTACAGTTGGTAATTTTTTCATCCACTTTTCTTTCTTCTTATTTACATTCCATTAATGTTAATAACTTCCCCTGTACATTCCTTGGCATTACTGTCTGTTATATCTCATTATATATATATATATATATATATATATATATATATATATATATATGAGTGTGTGTGTGTGTGTGTGTGTGTGTGTGCCAGACGGAAAAATAACTCAGAAAATATTGTGCGAAGCGCGGCATCAAACGGGCGACGGCGACCTCTCGCTCGACAGCGCGGAGCGCTTATCATTCCGGCACAGCACCGCACACTTTTGTGGGGCTAGCGGCAACGTATTTATGTAGGCCATTGAACACGAACAATATGCCGATTTGGGAGGAATACCAAGTTGTTCTTCACCTTACCAGGAATGCATTGAGATGGTGTGAAGGGCGTGCATAGCTATGAGCTCGTGGTGTTACGCTGCCCCGTAACCTTCACTACTGTGGGTAGTCACCCAGGCCCCAGCTTGCGCTTTCCTCGTTGTGGGGGCAGATATCACATCGTTTGCTTTCACCGAATAGAGTGCGTTAAGCTCATAGAGCACGCAACGGTCACTTTACTCGCGGTAGTGAAAAACACGTGATGTTTAAGCATAGAGCAATAGCAACTGCGACACTTGTTAGTTCGCGTTTAATCAGTGTAAACCTGTCCGCATATGTTTCGTGTGTTCTTTGTCTTTGAAAAACAAAGTTAGTATCGAGCTGCGAACGTTGTTATTACGTGCTCGTCATGTCGTTCTTACTTGCACTTGCAAAGTGCAAAGAATGAACTTTGTGTGTGTTCCTTTTGTGCATAGTGTGTTTGGCATTGCGCTCCAACTTTAGATATCCTTGCCTTGCTTCGTATTACAGCCCAATGTGTTGCTATGCAATCATTGCCTCACCATTGCAGCAAAACTGTGACTTCTTTTGTGTTCTTATTATTTACAGTGATTGGAGACATGGTGACAGTAAATGTGAAATACTGCATGACGGATATCACGCCAGGCCTCACGACTGCTCAAGTTGCTGTTGTGTGAGTACTTTCTTAGCGTTCAACTACGCTCTTGGGCATCTGTATATATGAAAACATAAAAAAGGAAAAAGTTCCTGAAAACTCCGGCACGCGGAAACGAACTGAGAACCTCTAAGACGTGACTGTGAGGCACTGAGTCACGGAGCAGCCCGTCCTTCAACGTTCAAACGGCATGCTATATATATCTACAACTTACCGCTGGTAACGGACATCTCGAGCAGGGGTGGAAGAACTATCGTGTTTTAGCATTACCAGCAAAATGGCCCAATGAGTGCGCACCGGAGTGTGCTTTCATCTCCCACGCATACTTTGCCTCGTAGAGAGGAGGGGGTGGACGTAAAGCCCCTGAACGCTCACTCTAGCGCCCTTATCTTGTGGTCGGGAGAATCGTATGTCTTGGCTGGTCTTTAGCTTTCACCGGAACGATCTTATTGTAGTTAGCAGGCGCACAAAGGTCACTGCATTTGTTGCACAGTCTCCGTTTGCAATAAGAGCGTGCTTTTCAGACACAGCGAAGTAAAAACTGAGGCGCTTATTCGCGTACACCTTTATCATTGAGACGTTTCATATGTCGCTTGTGCGTGAGAAACGTGGGGCACGTTTTGATCTGCTTACCATGATGCGCATGACCTTCCAGTTTGTTGCTATCGCGTTAACGCTGAGCAAACGCGTCGAGCATTGTTGCTGGGTTCCCTTTGTAGGCGAACTTGTATGGCGACATCTGCGTTGTCTCCTGCACTGCTGTGTCGTGTGTGAAGGTCACGTACGGAAGGATGGCGTCCTACACTCTGTGTTCGAGGTCGATGTACATTGCCAGCATGTCGCCGATTGTCTTCTTTAGCCCCGTAGTGAAGCCATTGGTCTGTGTCTGATACGGTGAGATCCAGCGGTGGCTCATCTGGCTGTTCGCCAAGATCGCCTGAGTTCGGTCTGAAGTAACAGCCGTACTCTTGACGATGACGATGATCTTTAGGGCACCATGACCCAAGACAGCTTTGTCGACGAAGAACTTTGCTGGCTGGGTGGCACTGCTTTTGTGCAATGCCATTGTCTCGGCTTAGTGGGTGATGTAATCAGTAGCTACGATGATTCATTTGCTTAAGGAATTTGACGTCGGAAACGACCCCAGTGGGTCCATGCCGGTTTGCTGAAACAGTCGGCGAGTTTGCGCAATAGGCAGCAGAAGCCCACCTGGCCTCAGTAGGTTTTTACGTAGTAGGTCACATCGTCAGTGAGGCGGGGTAAGTCGAACATTACGTGTATCCTTGCTAGTGTATGGCAAAATCCAAGGTGTCCAGGCACCGGGTCATGATTCGGAGCATCAAGAACTTCTGGACGTAACACCAAAGGAACTACGATCAGGTAGTTGGCCCCTGGTGCGGCGAGAAGTTTTTATTTACATAGATGCTGTTCTGCAAGTAAATGGACGTTAGTCCTCACTTTAATACCTTTGGAACAACGGTAGCACGGTCGTCACACTGTTTCACAAGGCCCTAATTTCAGGGTCGGCTCGCTCTCACTTGGTGAAGTCATTCATGCTTAAGTTTGCCTAACAGTAGTCACTGTCCTCGTTATCCTACGGTGTTGGGGCCAAGGGGGCACGGGAGAGGCAGTCAGCATCATAGTGCTTGCACGATGGAGTCTTAGACTACATGGTGTGAGAAAGCCTGAAGGGAGTTTGCAAGCCAGCACAAGCGCTGTGATGGTCGCTCACAACTTTGAAGGGCTTACCTAGAGGTATGGTAGCAAGGCCTTCTGTTTCTGTTGTGGAATAGTTATTCTGCCTTACATAACGAGCGGTTAGCATAACTGATAACCTTTTCTTCTCCGATGGCCTTCTGAACAGGAATGGTGCCGAGACCTACGCTGCTTGCGTCAGTGTGGCTTTTCATGTCGGCGTATTTATCGAAATGGACATGTATTGAAGGGGTCTGTGGACGTCGTTTAAACTTCTGAAATGCTTTAATTTGCGTTGTTCCCCACTTGTATTCGGCGTCAGCCTTCATGAGCTGCTTTAGTGGCTTGGCGATCAGTAAAAAGCATGATGTGTCCGCAACAGGCGCACAAGCCGAGAAATTGTTGGTGGGTTCCGAGAAAGCGGTGATAACAGCTGGTTTCTGCGGGTTTGGGCGCACTCCGGCCTTGTTGATCGTGTAACCCAGAAAGAAGATATCCTTGTACGTAAAGTGGCAGTACTCGGAATTTAAGGTGAGTCGAGAGCTTCTGATTGCTTGAAGTAGAAATTCAAGGTGCTGGGGATGTTCATCAAATCTCGAAGAAAACACTACATCGCCTAAGCAAACTAAGAAAGTCTGACACTTCAAGCCAGCCAGGACGGTATCCATGACTCACTGTACATTCAGAGGTGCCTTGCAATGAAAAAATGGCATGACCTTGAACTACAACAGGTCGTCCGGCGTTATAAAGGCAGTCTTTTCTCAGTTCCTCTAGTCGACTTCGATTTGCCGATAGCCAGTCTTGAAGTCCACCGACCAACTGGAACATTTTACAGAAAAAGGACACTATCAGAAAGTGAGGCGGTCAGTACTACATCGTCTTACCAAGGAAAGAACATCGCAAGCATTTTTTAGGCGACAGTCGGGACGCAGCAATAAACCGGCTTCATAATCTAGTCAAAAGTCTCACGCGTTATGATGGCCTAGTGAAGAATTACGACACGACATATGTAAATATTGGTAAATAGGACATGGCGAGGTGGTGCTGGAGCAACAATCTGGTAACGCCGTCTACTGCATGCCGCAGAGCGAGGTTGTACGAGAATACTAGCTGACCACAAAACTGCGAGTAGTGTTTAACGCCTCGTCACATGAAAGATACATGTCACTGAACGACTGTTTGGACAAAGGTACAGCTTTAAATTCATATCTGCTACAGGTTTTGCCTCGTTTTCGATGCCACCCGATAACCATCAACGCAGACATTGTAAAATCTTTCCTGCAGAATAAAATACAGGTGGCGGATCAAGGTGCTTTTTAATGCTCATGGTTTGAGAACGTAATACGTGGTGAAAACAGCATTATCGAATGGCGAATAGCACGTGTGCCATTCTAGTCAACATCCAGCCTTTTTCTGTCGATGAAAACGATGCTCCACCACCTGAACAGCGTAAGCGGTGAGGATAACAAACCGTTGCCTGGATACTGAATCACAGTATCTACGGGGACGACCTGCTGGTAGGAGCCGACCGTTTCAATGTGGGCTTATATGTGTATTAAAACGTAAAGTTGATTTTCAAAGACACTGCGATGAACCATCGGAAGTGGAAGGCAAAGAACGCTTGACTACAGGAAGTGTTCTCTAAAAGCTGAAAGTGCTTGGAAGGATCACACAGTACATGCACAATGGTTCTAGGTAAGCAATAGAATGCTGAAGATGATTACTTGACATGCTATTCGAAGCCTGTCACGCAGTTCTTCTTTTCGCTCAAAGAGGAATCGAAACAGACAATGTTAAGAACAGCGTCCAGGATGTTTGATCTTGTCGGTATTTTTTCGCTTTTCACGATAACAGCGAAGGTCTTATTTGGAAGTTTTGGCTGCTACGGATACCGTTGCATTCGAAGTTACCCATGCAAATCGAGAAGGCGTGAAAAGGAGGCTGTACGGTAATTGCGCAGTCAAGACTCATTAAGATACCGCCCTATGTCAAGAGTCATTGAAAAGAAGAAATCACCACGACGCATGTCCATATCTTCTTTTATACAAGTACAAGCGCTCATGGAACATGCGTGTAGCTTATAACGGTGGACCTTAATGGCAGTTGTAAAAAATTGTCGTGCCTAAGTCTTGGATGACATCTATATATGCCTTGGCCCCTCCAAAGTGTGAACTAATGTGGGCTGTTGTGGGATTGTCACTATGGAAATACCTACGAAAATCATGGGACCAGGTTCACTTCTCACATACAGGAAGGTCAAACTCGACAATTTTTATGAGTTGGATTCGGGCACACCAAAATAAACTCAGCCCTTTTGTGAGAAACAGAGTGGCCGAGATTGCCGACTGTACCAACAGAGGGCAATGACATTTTCGTCCTGAAGAGAAACCATCTGATTATCCGACACAACATTATCATCGGCAGCACTTCGACAAGCATCAACCGGAATGGTAAATGCAATCGGAAACTGCTTAGCTACTCTAGCCCACATAGCTTGCCACCCAAGAAAACAGCAACGAACCAGAAACTGTGCAGACAGAACCACTGCTAAATATGCATGGCCGCTTGAAGATGTCGTAAACGTCAAGACGTGCAGCAGCTTAACCAGACTTCTTCGCGTTATACAGTTAGCTTACGGATTTTTGGAAGGGATATGGCACGCACATGCACCATATATAAGTTCTCTTTCTTTAGAATATGAGAATATGGCCGAAAAGTTTTGGATATTAAAAGTATAGCAAAAGGCTTTTTTTCAAAATATAGAACAACTGTGCAGTGGACGCGCGATCTCAAAGTGGTCAATTCTTCATGACCTGCATCCATTGTTTTATACAGATAGTTAAATTCATCTGCGCGGACGCCTACAGAGAGCGCAACTTTCAATTTAAAACAAACATCCACTTATTTTGCCTCAGGACCATGAATTCACAAGACTATTGATCATGTAAGCACATTGCCATGTTTTACCTGTTGGAGTAACAGCCGTACTGACAGTAATTCGTTAGTGGTTCAGGATAGTTCATGAGAGGCAGGAGACAAAAAATTTTATCAACAATTGTTACCTTTGCAGATGATTCCGAATGAAGCCCATGAATGTGGAACATGCTGCTATCCCAGAAAATCGACCTAATATGTCTGACGCGTTTAAAATTATCGGATTGGATTTTGCAGGTCCGTTATATATGAAACTCAACCGGAGGGAACACCAATGCTCTAAGGTTTACATTGTGATATTTACCGGCGTAACCACAGGAGCGGTACACCTGCAACTGGTATAATCTCTCTGATCGGACAGTTTTGTTCTTGTCTTCAACATGTTCTTC